TTTATTACATATAAACTACATCATATAAAAAACTTTAATGTATTATAATATATTAATATTAAAGTTTTGATTAATTAAGTGTATAATTGGAATTAAGACCAATTAAAAGTATTTTAATGTTAAAAAATTTATTTTTGAATAAAATAGTATATTTGATTGAATAATAATATAATATTTAGTTATTTACTTTAATTATCAAGTTCAAAGTATATCTATAGTAAATTAGTAATGAATTAATTATATAAAAATAAATTGATAAACACTAATATATTACTAGTTAAATGATTATTTAATCAATTATAATATTACACTATAGTTAAATAATTATTTAATTAATTATAAGTTTATAACATTACATTAGTAATTTAGTACATTACTTAATTAAATAATTAGAAATTTAATTAATTATAACATTACACTATAGATTAATAGTATAATTATTTAATTAATTATAACATTACATTATAAACAAATGATTACTTAATTAATTATAACATTCCATTATAAGCATTAGTACAATACTTAATTAAATGATTAAAAAGTTAATTAATTATAATATTACATTAAAATTTATAGTATGATTACTTAATTCATTATAACATTACATTATAATATAATCATATAATTAATAATAGCATTACATAATTAAATGATTACTTAATTAATTATGATATTATATTATAAACATTAGTAATTTACTATATTAGCACAATACCTAATTAAATGATTATAAATTTAATTAATTATAACATTGCATTATAAATTTATAATATGATTACTTAATTAATTATAACATTATGTTATAAACAAATTATTACTTAATTAAATGATTAGAAATTTAATTAATTGTAATATTATATTAAAGATTTATAGTATGATTACTTAATTCATTATAATATTACATTATAATACGATCACGTAATTAATTATAACATTATATAATGAAATGATTACTTAATTCATTATGACATTACATTATAAACATTAGTAATTTACTACATTAGCACAATACCTAATTAAATGATTAAAATTTTAATTATTTATAGCATTACATTATAAATTTATAGTATGATTACTTAATTAATTATAACATTCTATTATAAACATTAGTACAATACTTAATTAAATGATTAAAAATTTAATTAATTAAAACATTACATTATAATTAAATAATTACTTAATTAATAATAACATTACATTATATTATAATCACTTAAATAATTATAACATTATATAGTTAAATGATTACTTAATTAATTATAAATTTATAACATTACATTATAAACATTAATAATTTACTACGTTAGTACATTACTTAATTAAATGATTAAAAATTTATTTTATTATAACATTACATTATAAATTTATAGTATGATTACTTAATTAATTATAATATTCCATGATAAACATTAGTACAATATTTAATTAAATGATTCGAAATTTAATTAATTATAATATTAAATTATAGATTTATAGTATGATTGTTTAATTAATTGTTTGTGTTTTGGTTTTGATTGAGGAATTTTATGTGAATTGTAATGAATTGATTGAATTCAAGTGTTGCCTAGAGATTAGAGGATTTATGAGTCACATTGGACACAAATAAATGAGTAATCAAAATTTGTTAGGGGTTTATCTGTAAAATTTTAAGGTATTTTTGTCATTTTTTAAACTAATAAGGGGGTAATTGATTTTTTATAGGGTACCGGGGAAAGGAACCAGAACCTACATTTTAGGTTCTGGTTCCTTGAATTTAAGAACCTGCACTATGTAGTTCCGGTTCCGGTTCCTTTTTTTGAGAACCTGCACTATGCGGTTCTGGTTTTGGTTCCGGTTCCCCTGAAAAATACAGGGTACCCGGAACCGCTCACCCCTGTCTATAGTGATACTCTATATAGGAATAACCTCCATGTAGTCATAAAAAATTTTGGTCCCAACGTGGGTTAATTATAAATAAGAATAAATTTCAAATTGTAATAAGTTATAATTTTTCTAGGTCTCATCTTAAGGAACTTGCCTCTACTTAATAATAATTATATGTATATTGCAAAAAATATATGTTATGTTACACTAAAAGTTTAAGATGAAATAAAATATTCATCTAAAGTTGTTTGGGACAATGATTTGTGCTTTAGAGTTGTTACCACATTTTTTATCTTGCGGATACGTAATAAGCCGCTAGCATGACACCTTCTTGTTGAAGCCAAAATATTTCTAGCTCTCAAACATGTTTAGAGCTTCTTGGCATGAAATTTTTGGTATTTCCGTACTACCATTGTCAAGATTATCTCCTTCCTCTTCTTGTCTAATTCCAATAATGATCTCTTCTTCAATTAAAATATACACGATTTGTTATTCATTTGGATGGTTGAGGAAGACATTAATATTTATTTGATTAATGTAGTGAAGTTGTGAAATCTGATCACTTCAGATTTACAATAACTTTTTGATATCCATTTCCATACTATCCTAATGCTAGTAAAACAATGAATTGAAGTCATAATACTACTAAAACATAAATTATAAAATAAGAAATCAAAACAATAATTTTTGTAACTATACCTCTATTAAATTATAACCTCTCTATAGTAATAAATTTAATTGGTCCCAATATTATGACTAGAGAGAGGTTCTACTGTATATAACTTTATATTATATACGGGGTAGGGCAGGGCAGGGAAAGGCATCAACCACCCCCGCCCCTATCCTTGAAAAAATTGGTGCTACCCCGCCCTATATGGGGTGCAGCGGGACGGGTCCTCAGAATTCTGAGGAGCATTGTCATGCCTACTCAACGAACATACAATTCTCATTCCAATGATGATTTAAGTATAATTCTCTCTCTCTCTCTCTCTCTATATATATAAAAAACAAATTTTGTTGCATAAAACAAGTTCTAATATTTACACAGAAATTCAAATGCTCCATAATAATAATAATACATTAAATCCTATACTCCATTATATCGACCGAGAATGACTTATGTAGCCTATCTCTAAGGTCCTTATCTAGCTCATAATGGATTTTAGGCAATGGATTTCCTATCATCTTATGGTGTCCCTTACGAGTGGAAACACCAATTGAAGCACCAATTGTTCTCTTAGCACCCCAATTTAAATATTGCTTAGTGAAATTTTCAAATAAGAGTCAGATAACCTTTACACTCCATCTTTTTCCATAGCAGGAAACCAACAAGACTTGGGTAATTGAGAGTTGTTTGAGAGCATTAAACTTCATATCCTCCCAAAGTAAACCCTCTTCCCAAACAATTTCTTGTATCATTTCATTCACATGAATAAAATGATTCACTAGTTGAACTGACTCGTTTTCTTTTCCATTTGGTTCAAACTTATAACCATTGTCCTCGTCATCCTATCCACCTTTTATCTTTGGTGAATTGTCCTAATAGCCTTTGGGGTTCTTTTAATCAACACCATGAATTCACTTCCTATAACAAATACAAGAATAAAAAAAATTAATTAATATTCCTTTATTTATTTTCAAATTAATAAATCTATATGTGATATACACAAAATTAATTATTTGTTAAATAAATAAATAAAAATGGCCCCAATTTTGACTATTAGAATCCTAAGTCGGTGTATCGTCTTTTATAAAGAACATGTATTTAAAAGAATAAATCAGCCTCTCTAGCTCAATGGTCTAAGTACAAGGTTGTCATTTAAGAGGTTCTGAGTTTGAGTTCCAAGTGAGCAGGAGCCATAAATTTTTTTTATATTGACGCGGTTTGACTAACCCGTTGATCGAGTTTGACTTATTGACAGATTTAACCCGTTTTGAGTAACTCGTTGTCCGTTGACTGGTTTCACTTGTTGACCAACTTGACTCGTTTTGATAAACGGGTTACCTAGTGGTGATGACTTGAAAAGGTTGTTTTAATTTTAACGGCTTGGGCCTTTAAAACTTATTGGCTCTATTTAAGCTAAAAAGGGACTCAAATAATGAAATTGAAGATTGGGCCTTTAATGCTTATTGGATCTATTTAAACTAAAATGGGCCCAATAATTGAAAATTGCGTCATTACACCCCTAAAAAAAATAATCTGGTGAATCGGAATTTCACAGGAATTTAACCAGAATATGTCTCCTTTTCTTTCCCAATTTCAGTTATGCACAATCCACAAACTCCAGTTTCAATTTCCTTCCTGACCCTCCCAACCGATTTCAGTTTCATACAAGAACCTTAATAATAATATATATCAGAATATTAAAAAAATATAATCCTAAACATGCATAATATTATTTATAAAGATTTCACGCAAAAGTTAAAGCCTAACTTGGCTCTTATACCAATGTTAAATAAACAACATATGACCACAAAGGATATGAAAAAACTAATTCTAAAAACTTATCGAATATGTCATAATTGTAATCAATTATATGTATATAAATATGACGAATTGCAATATAAATTATATAGTATAAATACCTCTTGTAGACCCAAGTTATAGTATAATTTCGCACAGACTGAAAATACTCAATCCAAATCCTTCAATTGCAAAATCAGAGAAAAAAACTAATATTCTTGTTTCTTTTTTTTTTTTATTCTCACGTATTTTATTTGCAAATGTCAATATATATTATATATGTGCAATTACCTTACAGGTGCCAAGGTAATTACATGTGAGTGTAGAGAGAACGACATTTTCCCACCCAAGGTTAACGACACTTTCTCTCGTTATGTTCTATTAGAAAAATCTGTTACTATTTAACTGTAAAGACGAAAATACCCTTTACTATTAAACTTAATAATTTTTTTATTATTTTATGTCATATCAATAGGATCAATTACCAATATACCAACTGTTTAAATATGAATTTATTGATATACCCTCAATTATATATAAAAATGTAAATTACCGTCAACTATATATGGGATTTTCAATTACCAATAATTACTGATATGCTCTCAGCTGATTTGCTTAAATAAGAATCCAAATTGCAAAATTACAATGCATATATATATATATATATATGGGGAATTCAATACAAAGAAAGCACAAGCATTTCAAGCCTCCTAGAGTGATGATCTTTCTAAGACAGTTTCTCATTCATTTGTTAAAATCCAACGAGTTTTGCTTTCACCCTCCCACTTCTAGCTCCTTGAAGCTTGTTTTTCCTTTGCTTTCTGAATCTTTAAAACCTTCTTCACAATCTTTTGCTCTTCTACCAAGAAAAGCTCGAGTTATCCTATCAAATGTTTTCAATAGGAAAGAGACATCAATTAAATTTGCTATTTATCACATTTAACCAGTGGATAGAAAACAATGAAAACTCAAACTTAAGTATTCACAGCAGTACCTCTCCCTAACAGATTGAATTGAGACTCCACGTTTCATGTAAATTATATTTTGCAAAAGCCAATAATCATTGAAAGTTAAACATTCTTGAGTTTAACATATGAATCAATTTCGTTCATCACTTCATCTTAAAATGAAGAGTAATGCTATGTGTACTGACCAATTTATACTAATCCAAGTATTAACATTGAAAATTTGAATTTTTTTTTTTTTTTTTTTTTTTTTTTTTTTGAGGGAATTTCAAATTTTCAATATTAATACTTGAATTAGTACACATTGGTTAGTGCACATAGTTTTATTCTAAAATGAATTGGCGCCTACAAGTCTCCTATGGCCTCCAAATCTTTGCCTACACCAATAAAGAATCTTATCATTGTCTCCAAGAACAGCGAGCTCATGAATATTTTTGGTAAAAAAAATCTGCAGTAAGTACAACTTTGTCAGTGAATTCTGCAATTATTTTATACCATATCAGGGTTCCTGTTCGATCATGGAACCCAGGCTGTGATTAGTCGGGCATTACTTTATCTGGATGCTACATCACTAGGTAGATCAAGACCACTGGGAATCTTTCCAGGGAAGTTTGTTGTCGCAGAATCTGAACACAACATACTGCAGTACAAAAAGAGAAGTAATCAATTGAAAAAAAAAGTAACTAGTTGTGGCTACGATAGGAAACAGAGTTCTCTCTGAGTTCTATTCTAATCTAATTGTGCTCACCTTCTGTCAACAATAACCATTGGGCAAAGCTCACAATTAGCAAAGCTGCAGCAACAAATTGCAAAGCATATTAGCATGTTATCCATGTTGAATCCAACGTATAGTTATTTACTACACCCACTTTCAATAATTTAAGGAAAAAACATTATCTCAGAGGAGTACAATATAGATTGCCAGAAATTGGAACTTTTGGGTAATTCAAAATTATCACTTTTTTGTATCCAGGACTGAAGGTTTACACAGAGTTAAATAACCATAAATGAGGCACTAGACAGAGTTGAATCCAGAACAGGTAAAGAAATAAAGCAAAGAAAACTAATTTCAGCTTCTAGTCTTAAGAAATGATCCAACAGTTCAAAGAATATGCAAAATAGCATAAAGAAGTAGAATTTCAAGCAGAGAAGGATGTCAGAAAGGAACAAGTAGCTAAAATTGAACAGTGAACACAAATCTCTACCATCTCTAAATATCTTTAATTTAATTTCTAAATAAGGATCTGGTAAACACGTTAAAGCTATATACCAACAATTGACATTGAAATATAAGGCAACACTTACTGTTTACATATTTCATCCTTTAAAAGATGGATGACAATCATTTCCAAATGCACTTAGGGTATGATATAAGAATCCACTGTGAGTAACAGCTGCTACCTCCTTCTCTTTTCGAGTCCACAGCCTGGATCAATTGATTAGCCGAAATAAAAAATAGTCAGGATTAAATTGACGCCACTTCTGCCATAGAATCACATGTCCATATGCATCTTATTCAAAGGTGAAACAAATACTAGGGGAAAATCAAAGAAACATTTCAAGTCTGGATCAATTTAAAGGGGAGCATTTACTGTTCCAATAGTAGAATGAAGTCATCCCAATTCTTTTTTTCTTAATGAAATGTATAGCACAAGTGATTATTACATGATCAAGTTACTCCACCATTGTTACAGTTCGAATCAAAATGAAGATTAAGCATAAGTGCACACATCAAAGTGCCATGTATGGAATCTAAAATTCAATGGAAATCATTATTTACATGGGGCAACAACATAACCACTACTCTGAAAAAACAACTCAAAGCCTTCCGTCTTTGTAAAACCATAGACAAGAGCATGAAAAGATTAAACCCTATGATAGACCTCACTAACCAGTCGCCAGTCTCCGCTTTCAACCCTTTTTTTTCTGCTCAGCCGTCGTCGTAGCGAGTTGGTCGCCGCTTGCAATCCTTTTTTTTGTTCAGTAGTCGTCGTCACCAGTCGCCAGTCGCCAACCCTAACTGTTTAAGCTTCAGTTACAGAGAACAGGGAGAAAAGGCAAATCGTTCTCCCTTTACTTTAGTGGGACACGTGGCAACCATTCAGCGAAGAGATTTCAATTTTTGAATTTTGATTTTTGGGGCTTCATGGAAATTAACCATCTTGCCCTTCTTCAAAACGGATTTGCCTAACAGAACATAACGGTGGGTGGGAAAGTGTTGATTTAAAACTTCACGGGTGGGAAAGTGTCATTTTGCCAGACCTTGGGTGGGAAAATATCGTTCTCCCCTACTTATATTATATAATGGGTAAGTTTCATCATGGGTGTCCAACCCGTATCCAATAATGATGGTGCCATACCCTCCACAACACCCTCTTGAACCTCTTCAAATATGATACAATGGTACATGGGTATACGTTGGTGAGAGAGATAAGGTTTATTTATTTGTTTGTTTCATTTCAGTTAATAATTGTAGAGCTCAGTCCTAGTCTTCAGGTGGCTCCTTTTTATTTGCTTTCAGTTAGTATCACTGCTATTTTCATGCCACAAATTTGCAACGTGGGTGTTTAAACATTTGTAAATTCTTGCTTATTTAAAGAGCGAAGAATAGTGAATAAGAGGAGAAAAAAATAACACAATTTTAAGCAATTGCTTAGGTGGTCGTGGTCTCCACTATCAGACCAAAGAAACTTAACTTCCCTTGTTCTTTAGCCATTTGATTACTCTGATTTTCTAGCGACTAACCACAATAGGTAAAACCAAGGAGTACGTCCCAAAGTGGTATCAGAGCACAGGCATGGACTAAAGAGTGGAGCAGCTAGAAAAGATGGTCCAGGCCTTAACAGGAGGTCAACAAGCTATTCTTAATCAGTTAAATGAGTTCTCTATGCAGTTGAATACAAAGTTCGAACAAATGTCTTTGCACAAAGAGGGAGAGTCCTCATCTGTCCAAGAAATTTCAGCAGCGACTCATGGGAACAATAATAGCAATCACTCCTCAGCAACATATGCACCAAAATTCGTTAAATTGGATTTTCCTAGTTTAATGGCCGAGAAGATCCCACGAGCCAGCTTTTTTTCATTTGGAAGATGACACACAACTATGGTACCAACTTCTTAAACAGGAGAAATAGGTTGTCACTTAGGAAGAGTTTAAAGAAGGACTCCACTCAAGATACAGTCCAAAACAGTTTTTCAATTTTTTCGGTGAGTTGACAGAGTTACAACAACAAGGGATAGTTCAAGCATATTAGACTCAATTTGAACGATTGTTAGCCAAGGTGGGTTCCCTTACAACTGAACAACAAGTCAGCTGCTTTGTAAGTGAACTCAAGGATTCTATCAGCACTAAGGTCTAAGCAAATCGGCCACAGACACTATCGTTTGCCATCAGTCTGGCGCGTTTGTATGAGGCTAAACTTCTGACCCAACAAAAAACTCTTCCGCCTAGCAAACTTGTTGGAACGGTATCACGTCCCCCAACTATCACAACCCCCAATCCTCCAGTCAAGAAGTTAAATTGGGAGGAACTGAACAAGCGAAGAAGATTAGGCCTTTGTTTTCAATGCAATGAGCAGTTTGGGCCTCGACATCAGTGTAAGCGGCTATTTTCCATTGAGGCTATCCTTGATGATAGCGATGACGATGTGGAGATGGAGATCGAGGAGCCTTCACCAACAGACACACCAATCATGAGAGTAAAAGGACGAATCAACAATAGAGCTGCACTCATTTTGATTGACTTGGGAAGCTCCCATAATTTTGTGAACAAAGATTTTGCAGATAGTGTGGGGTTACAGCTGAACCATAAAGGGAAGTTTAATGTGATAATGGCTTTAGGAGAAAGCCTGACAAGTTCAGGGAGGTGTGATCAAGTGTAGGTAATTTAACAAAATATTCCTCTCACTATTGACTTGTATTTGCTTCCTTTAGAAGGCTATGATGTTGTTCTTAGCACCCAATGGTTACAAACCTTAGGGCCTAGAACATGGGTTTTTTCAAAGATGCGAATGAGATTTCGATATGAGGGAAGAGAGGTAATATTGCAAGGAGAGTTGCTTCCAGAAAACAAACTTTTCAACAATCACTAAATTGAACAAGCCACAAGAAAACAGCGACATGGGGTTCTCCTACACATGGTGGAGGTTACTCCTCAAGAAATTAAGAGCACCGTCATTCTACCTGAGATTCGACAAGTGTTGCAAAGGCATCAATCAGTTCTTAAAGAACCAACAGGACTTCCTCCCATCCATGCACATGACCATCAAATTCCTCTGAAGGAAGGTTCTAATCCTATGTCAGCAAAGCCCTACCAATACCCATATTTCCAAAAGACAGAGATTAAAAAAATTGTGATTGACTTGCTGAACACTAGAGCGATTCAACCAAGCAACAACTCATATTCATCTCCAGTAATCCTATTAAAAAAACAAGATGGGTCATGGAGAATGTGCATGGATTGCAGGGCTTTAAATAAAATCACAATCAAGGACAAATTCCCTATACCAATAATAGAAAAGCTTCTTGATGAACTCCACGGGGCACAATTCTTCTCCAAACTGGATTTATGATCTGGTTATCATTAGATTCAGGTTCATCCGCCAGATATTGAAAAGACAGCTTTCAGAACACACCAGGGTCATTATGAATTTTTAGTGATGCCTTTTGGGTTGGCCAATGCTCTATCAACATTCTAATCTCTCATGAATGCGGTATTTAAAGATTATCTTTGAAAATTTGTTCTTGTTTTTTTTCGATGATATTCTAATTTATATGAAGAATTGGGCTGATCATATTAAACATTTAGAAATTGTATTTTCCATTTTACAAAATCACCAATTGTTTGTAAAATTGGAAAAATTTCATTTTGGCCAACGAGAAGTTAAGTACCTTGGCCATATTTTTTTTCCAATTTTGGAATTGGTGTAGATCTAGAAACAAATGAGGCTATCTTAAATTGGCCCAAGTCGAAAACTGTGAAGGCAATGAGAGGGTTCCTCGGCTTATGCGGGTACTACCGCAAATTCATTAAAGATTTCGGTAGAATTGCAAGCCCCCGTACCAAAATGCTCAAGAAGAATAATTTCACTTGGACTATGGTGGCCGAGGAAGCCTTTGACACTCTCAAGAGGGCTATGACACAAGCTCCAGTTCTTGCACTTCCTGATTTCTCTAAGGAGTTCATCATAGAATGCGATGCATCAAGATCCAATGTTGGTGCAGTCTTAAGGCAAGAAAAGCCTATTGCCTTCTTCAGTCATGCCTTGCAAGGGAGGCATCTTCTCCTCTCAACTTACAAGAAGGAGGTCTTAGCTTTAGTCATGGCAGTCCAATAATGGAGACCCTACCTCCTTGGCAAACAATTTATTATGCAAACTAACCATCAAAGCTTGAAACACTTATGGTCTCAAAAGATCACTACTTATACCCAACAAAGATGGCTATTAAAACTCATGGGCTTAGACTTTACCGTGAAGTATAAAAAAGGAAAATAAAACATTGTGGCAGATGCACTTTCCCAAAAGGAGGAAGAAACCAATAACCAAGACAAGGAAATCATGCGACATTTCTAGCATTGTCTCAACCAGTTCCTAATTGGCTCGAAACCATACGAGAGGAAAATACTTCCAACCCAAAAACTCAAAATCTCATACAATTGGTGCAAGAAGATAAGGTTGTGGGACCTTGGCAAGTTCACAATGGCATCCTATTTTACAAGGAAAAGATTTACTTAGATGAAGGCTCTGGGTTAATTAATCAGATCATCCAACAGTTTCATAATAGCACACATGAAGATTTCTTAAAAAAGGGTTCATCGAGTAAGGGCCAACTTTTATTTCAAGGAGTTAAAAGGAAAAGTTAGAAGATTTATTTAAGAGTGTGATGTTTGTCAGTAAAACAAGGTAGAACAAACTTCGGCAGCAAGGCTTCTTCAACCGCTCCTAATTCCCACCAAAATTTGGAAGGAAATTTCAATGGACTTCATTGACGATTTGCCGAATTCAAATGGAAAAACTACTATTTTGGTAGTCGTTGATAAACTGTCGAAATACGCCCACTTCATGGCTCTTACCTATCCTTACATCGCCACTGGAGTCGCTTAAGTTTTCTTCGACAATGTTTTTCGTTTACATGGGTTGCCTAAGACTATCCTATGTGATTGTGATCCAACATTCACCAGCATGTTTTGGAAATAACTATTTAGGCTAAACGAAACTGCACTTAACTTCAGTTCTGCATATCATCCCCAGATAGATGGCCAAACCGAAGTAGTCAATCGAACCTTGGAGATGTATCTTCATTGTTTCACAAGTTTTTAGCTGTGGAAATGGTATAAGTAGTTGTCCTGGGCAGAGTTCTATTACAACACCAACTTTCATTCTACAATTGGAAGAACACCATTTGAAGTGTTTTATGGAAGAGAAGCACCAAACTTGTTGACATATGTTCCAGGCACTGCTAAGGTTGCTTTTGTGAAGCAACAACTTATTGAAAGAGATTCTATTGTGAGAGAAGCCAGGGACAAAATAGCTCAAGCTCAAAATAGGATGAAAAAAATTTATGACTCAAAGCATAGGGAGAGAGAATTTCAAGTTGGCAATTATGTGTATTTAAAGTTGCAAGCGTATAGGCAATCTTTGGTCTCTCAGTGACAGTCACACAAGCTAGCAGCTAAGTTTTACGTCCCTTCTTAGTCGTTCAACGTATCAGAGTTGTCGCTTACAAATTGGAGTTACCACCTAGAATTGTATCCATCTAGTTTTCCACATCTCTTTGTTGAAGAAACATTTGGGTACTCAGGTAACAGTCCAATAGTAGCTACCCAACGTTGGCGTCGAAGATCCTTTTCCTTATCCGCTTGCCATACTTGAGCGAAGAATGAAGGGAAAGACACATGAAGTTCTAGTCCATTAGGCTGGGTGTTCACCTTCAATGGCAACATAGGAAGTCCTTAAGATCCTTCAGCAGCAATAACCGTGTCTCGCTCTTGAGGACAAGAGCGCTTTTTAAGCGGGACGG